CAAAATGGCGTTATACTTGGACGAAGGGTGGACATATTTTTGTGAGAAAGGAAGATGGAAAGCCTGTAACGCGAATTCGGTCCGAAGCAGACCTTCAGCGTGTTTTTTGTTAATCATGCGTTAGCTATTAATTTACTTTTTTTAATATTACTTTTTTACTATCCTACCTCTTATGTTAGAGATAGCTTAATTAGGTTTGTTAAAACAATATTTATATTCTTTTATAACTTAGTCTCCAAAATAACAATTACATACAGTAAGTGTATACATATTAATATACATCAACTTAATATAATATGTTGCTTTTCAAAGGGTTTATTGTTAAGTTTTAATTCAGCCTTTTTTGGTTTATGTAAATCAGTGTACGTGTTCATTACACATGAAATCTTTAAGTGTAATTTTCATTGTCTCGTTAGTATTTGTGTGTCTGACAAAAGTGTTCATACCGTGAGTAATCGCAATTTTATTTTACTATATTTTGCCGGGTCATTAGTGGTACATGCAAACAGCTCCTTACGTTTTTTACTCTACTTACATAAACGCAATTTTAATTTTGTATTTATTTATAAGCACATACATTTTTATTTTTATATTTTAAACGTAAATAATTTTAATATTCGGAAAGAATTAACTTTAATATTCAATAATGATGAGTGTAATCTATCAAAATGTATATATAATGTCTTGTCAATATATAATTTATATGTAACGTTTTGTCAGTTTAGTGAACAAAGTAAACATACAACATGTCTTAATAATATTTATTTATTATATGTAAATCCTGAGTTGTACTATTTATTTATAAGATTAAATTTACAATATAATATAATATTTGTTAAAGTTAGGAAAACCGTATTTGGTATTTTATACTCATTATTACTTCATTACTATCTGTTAACAATGGATAAATCTTATTATTCGGCCAACGTCAGTGGTATTTCAGTTAGCAATGATTAAGTTTAAAGAATTAAAAGTTGGTTTCTTTAATGCGGGTTCATTGGGTACGAAACACGAAGAATTGCTCGTAGCCATGAGTCGACATGATGTTGATCTCATGGCGATAAATGAGACCTGGCTACGGGAAGGCGAAGATGGGCGCGCTCCGCTCGTACCTGGCTACCGCCTACGTCACGTGCCGAGACCACACTCTGTGCGCGGTGGCCGTGGAGGGGGTGTAGGCTTCTACGTCAAAAAGGGAATCAACTCCCGAACATTATCTACTCCTCACCACAATTGTGTAGAAGAGATGTGGCTAGCCCTGCATATCAACTCAAAAAAAATTGTGATAGGCACGGCTTACCGCCCACCATGGCTTAGCGTTGAATTATTTCTTGATGCTATTACTGACAGCCTTAGCACACTTTCGCACGATTATGTACTGATTTTGGGAGATTTTAATATTAATTTAATTGACACAGAAGATGTGAAGACCAAGCGTTTTATGGAATTTATAAATTATGTTAATATTAAACAATTAATAGATAAGCCAACACATTTTACCGAAACTAGCCAAACTCTAATTGATGTTATCTGTACTGATGCGCCAACACGAAATGTCACAAACGATCATATAGCTGACTTAGGTAATCATGCCTTTCTTACATGCGAGTTACATTTTAAAATAGACAAAATACTACCTCGGACGTTAGTATATCGCCCCCTAAATGATATCCTACTTGATTATTTTGAACGAGACCTCCAGATAATTCCATGGGATGTGATCAGTTGTACCGATAATGTCAATGAAATGGTGCACTTATTTAATCGCTACATCCTAAATTTATTTGACTTACATTCACCTATTAAAACAGTTATACTTAAAGATCGCCCTTGCCCCTGGATAACCAAAACCATAAAATTAATGATGAGTTTACGCGATGAAGCACTCAATAAATATAGATGTTCACAGTCGCCCAGTCATAAAAATTATTATAAACAATTAAAACATCAAGTAAATGTCGCACTATACCACGAGAAAAAAGCATATTACAAAGTGTTCATTAATAATAATATCAGCAATCCAAAGAAGCTATGGTCAAATTTGAAGGCGTACTCGTTACCACCGAAAAACGAATACGACCTTCCGCCACATTTATCGGATCCTGATATTATTAATTCACATTTCTCAAACATACCAGGTTCCTATAACGTAACTATATCAGATCTTACATATTTTGAATTTAATAGATTTATTTCTAAAACTTTTTTGCTGAAACCGGTATCACAAGATATAATTTTGAATATAATTAAAAAACTAAAATCTAATGCACTGGGAGTTGATGGTATTAACCTAGATATGTTATTAATGACCCTTCCACAAAGTCTGGAAACTATCACCGCGTTGATTAACCTATCGATATCTACAAGTACATTCCCTGACATCTGGAAACTAGCCTTAATACGTCCTCTTCCAAAAAATGCCAATCCTGCTACCGTGACTGACTTACGGCCCATAAGTTTGCTACCCTGTATATCTAAAATATTAGAAAAAGTTGTGTATCAACAATTAATTTCATATCTAGAAAATAATGCTATACTGCCCGATCTTCAATCGGGTTTCAGAAAGGGACGAAGTTCTGCTACTGCCCTATCTGATGTAGTAGGTAATATATTGGAGGCCCAAGATACGGGTCAGGGGACTATACTCGTTCTATTAGATTATTCTAGGGCTTTTGACACCATAAATACGCCTTTACTTTTGTCCAAAATGTCGTTTTACGGATTTGACCCCAGGACTATAAAATGGTTTCACAGTTACCTTAGTGGACGTTCACAGCAAATTACATTTCAATTAAATGGTCAAAATTGTGTGTCTTCTCCGCAGCGGATCACGCGTGGTGTTCCTCAAGGATCTATTTTGGGTCCCGTACTTTTCGCGTTATATACATCAGACATTAGTAACTGTTTCCAATATTGTAAATATCACTTATTTGCAGATGACACACAGATTTATAAGTCTTTTAAGCCTAGTTGTACTGTAGAAGCTGTTAATCAACTCAACGAGGATTTGGATAAAGTAGTAAAGTGGTCAGAGAGAAACTGTTTAGTGTTGAATCCATCAAAGACAAAGTTTTTAATTTGCGGAACGAAACAACAGATTCAAAAAATAAATAAATTTGTCCCAACACTGTATATAAAAGACACGGTATTAGAAAGAGTCGATAAAGCACGTAATTTAGGAATCATAATTAGCCCTGATCTCAGATTTCAAGATTATATCAATAACATTGTTAAGAACTGTTTTTATAGGTTAAAAATCCTGTACAGAATGCGTGAACACTTAAGTTTAGAATTACGAAAAAGACTATCGGACACCCTAGTACTATCAAAATTTAATTATGCTGATACGGTTTATGGGCCTTGTTTACTGTCACGTACCGCACACCTTATTCAACGGGTCCAAAATGCTTGTGCGAGGTTTTGCTTCGATGTACCGCCAAGAGGTCACGTAAGCCCATTTCTTGACGACAATAATATTCTTAAAATGGCTGCCAGACGCAAACTTCATTTAGCTTGTGTACTTTTTGGCGTCATAAAGACAAAAAATCCAAAGTATCTTTTTAGTAAGTTAGACTGGTCTCGCGAGCATAGCAAGTATCTCAGCCGCGCTTCATCTTATAATAGGCTCAGTATTCCGCGACATTCTTCTTCAGCCTTTCGAGGTTGTTATAAGTATGCAGCCTCCCATTGCTGGAATAATTTACCTCCTCCACTGCGTGACCTAAACACAGTAGGCACGTTTAGAAAACACTTAAAATATCTCCTAATAAACGAACAGAAGGGTATAGTTAATAAATAGGAGTATTGTTAAGAGGTTAGACGTTAGCTGATTTTTCGTTTACATAATATTTATTATGCTATTACATATTATTATTTATTACAAAAAGCCTATTAAACGTATGTATCTATGTATATATGTGTATACGTGTGTATGTGTGTATATATATGTGTGTGTATGTATATGTATATGTGTATAAATATATGTATATATATATATATGTATGTATATATGAGTGTATGTATGTGTATGTTTGTATGTGTGTATGTATGTGTGTGTATATATAACAAATCATACATTACATTATCTTTATATATAAAAATTTCGTGTCACGTTGTTTGTCCGCGATGAACTCCGAAACCACTCACCCCAAATTTGTACACTCTGTGCAGTTTGGTCCAGCTTGAGACATAGGATAGTTTTTATCCCGATAAGTGACCCTCAATTTTTTTATTGCAAATTTAAGGATTTTTATAGTACAAAGGTTCCCCGCTAAGGGCAGAACAACGTCTGCCTGGCCAGCTAGTGATTTTATTATATACAGTGTATAATATATATGTATATATTATACACTGTTAAATTATATTATGACACTTACTAATGTTCCCGTCACATCTAACGTAGCGTTCAGTAACTTACATTCAGCACAACTATACAATACGCATTTTGTTATTGTCATTCATCAGTTGTTATTGTCATATGTATCTACTACTCGCTTAATGTCGACACTTACGGCACGGTCTCCGTAGGACCGTATGGGGCCGACTGAAAATCAGCGTCGCTATCCCGCGGCTTATGCTGAGGCGGTCCCTTCCGCCACTTCATCTGTTTCGATTATTAAGTCATGAATTGTTGTTATATCCTCTATTTTTTTGTTTATTCATTTTCTTGTGTTTTAATTTTTTTATTATTATTTTATTATTAGTATTAATTTTGTTTATTAATTTGTCATTGTAATATGAAGTGTCGGAATAAATGTCTTTATGTCTTTATGTCTTTATGTCTTTAAAAGCAAACATGAACAATTAGTAAATTAATAAGTAATTAATGGATTTTTTCATTGTTTACTAAAGAATATCAGATTATTTTGAAAAAATAACACCGAATATTTTTGTTTTCAAGTGTGTATAACACTTTAATAAACAAATATTTGTTATAACAGTAAAATACCATATAAAACAGTGAAATATATTAGATGCAAAATACACAATCAAAATATTCTTTAAAATAAGAGCTGTAAGAGTAATAGTAGCACAATGAGAGATGTGCTAATATGTTTTTTTATCGCGCCATCTAGTTGCGCAACGTCCAAGTAATCGCAAATCATTTCATCCCAGTTGTCAGTTAGATCATGGATACTTCGTGCTCCAGCTACCAACTTACGCCTCATAAGTCTTTTAGCGCGAGCCAAACGCTCGGGTGAATCACTTACTGGTCCCCCTAAACTGCCCATCAGATTCACATTTAGATTTTGTTTACGCGGCTCGACCATCACCACGGTATTCATCTTCTGCGACACCTGCATCAATACTGGTGGTTTGACTGTTGCTCTTTTATCCATCAAACCCTCCTTCAGCTGTGCTTTTTTCAAAATTGACAATCTGGACTTCTCTGCTAAAGACAAATCAGTAGTCGTACTCTCAATAGATTTAGCTGAAGTTGTAATTGTTTTTGTTGCTGATAACCTAGTCGTTACTTTTGTAATCGTAGGTGACTTCTTCTCCGTGATAAAGTTCACTGCTGACATAGTTTTAGTTTTTGTTTTGTTTCTATTTTTACTTTTTATCCTAGTGGTAGTTCTGGTAGGGATGTCGTCATCATCACTTGTGGCGGTAGGGTATCTGTCGAGCACGTAGGAGCGTCGGTACGTCCACACCTGATACCGACGCGATGTTGTCGAACCCGTAGCTCTTGCTAGGCACACACACACACAAGCCAATTGTTAATCTTCCATCATCCACCATTTCAGTTTGACACTTTAGTATTAAAGAACTTAAAGAAACCTGCTTTAGGATTCGCGATCGAAACAAATTTTCATTGGCTGGATTGTAAAAAAAGCTTTGAAACTCTAAAACATATCTGTCCATGTCATATATAATAATGAATTTAAAGTGTCTACGCATACGATAATCGAACGATTATTTGTTCTTATTTATACGATTATCATATGATTTATTTAATTTTTTCATCCGATATATATTTTAAATAATTTAAATTAAATCCAATTGTGAATCTTAACTATCTAAGGACCCACCCTAACAAACATACACAAGAAATTTCATCAGAATCGGTCGAGCCAGTTTCGAGTTTTTTCGAGACTAACGGACAGATATTATATTTTATATATTTAAAGATTAATAACAGTTTCTTAAGAATATCAGGAAAACTTATGTATCCTACAAAATTGTTAAATTGCAGCCTGTATACCCTTCTCTCAGCAAATGTTTTAAATAATTTTAATTTAAAACTAAAATTAATAAAAATATTTTTAATCTTCTTAGACAATTGAATGAAATATTATATCCTCTCCTATCTATTTAATATCCTCTAAAACTTACTAATATGATTAGATTATTTTGTGTATAATATAACATTACACTAATCTTGCAAAATTAGTAGTAGGTTAAGGCCTTCCGAGAGCCGTGTACATTATAATGATACAAAATATAATATGGAAAGAATAGAAGTTTTGAAAGATTATCGTATGAATAATTATTTTTAATATACGATAATCGTATGATTAGCAACAGCCGTTTGGTAAATAGTGTAATCATTATATTTATTTAAAAATAAAAAATGTCTCTATTCTGCTAATGGTAGCGCAAGTATAATATATATAGTTAACAATGATACCCTCTTACCTTTTGTTCGACGATAAAGGACAGTAATTTTCTTCTTAATATTATTAACTCGTTTCATGTCATAATAGTCTTGATATTGGTCCTCTTTCTTTTGATCTAATTTTTTGGCTTCTAATCGAGAAATTAGATCGTCATCGGGAGATTGTTGGCGAAATGCTTCGGTCTCCTCGTTTGTATTCAAGTGTTTAGATTCATCAGATTGTGCAGGTAAAGCAACTGACTCCTCTGTTACAGAATATTCAGCATCCTTTACATGGCTGTGTTCATTTTTCAGTTCTTCATCATCATCATCTTCTGATTCATCGTTCTCGATTTCAATTTCAGGACTTCCAAAAGACCTATCTCGTGGTTTTCGCCTTACAACTCTCTCAGTAGTAGCTCTCGTATAAACTTTATCATCCTCGAACCGATCTTGATACCTATCGTCACCTATAAAGTCATCCTCTTTATCAATAACATCGTTACTTCGTATTCTCCCATTTCTCAACTGTTTCTCATTAATTTCAGCTTTTTTGACAGAATTCCTTGACTTTTTTCGCTGGTGAAAAGCTGATTTAACTTTATTTCGATCCACGTGTGCTCGTAGGTTCGGCCTTTGAACTCTTGACGGTTTTAAAGTTGATTTTAGCCCGCTGTCGTCAGTTTTTATATTCACGGTTTTCAAATTTAAATGGTCTTCATATTTGTAGTCTGGAGAAGCAGGTGCTTCGGGTGAGCGATCATTATAATCATCAACAGCTGGAGCAGCTTCCCGGGCGGATTCGTGATACTCCTCCGAACCATAATGCGGCATCTCAGCTGCAGCGTAATCACCGTAATGTGCACCTCTCACTATACCCACTAAAGCGGCACCTACAAGTACTGCCCAAGAAGCAAGCACCATTGAAAATTACCTCCCGCCTCCTTTTCTCGCTATTTTCACCACGTTTCTCTACTATTTTCGTTGACGTTATAATAAAATAATTTGAAAATAAATTAATATTGACAAATACAAAATTTTCGACATTTTCAAGCTTGACTATGAATTTGTCAAAAAAGTTGACAGTTAAGAGACTTATTTATGATAAAATTTCGAATAATCAGCCAGTAAAAGTTTATATTTGTGTTTATTACAGAATTGGGAGAGATAATAATCCCTTACTTAAAAATCTATTTCTTTAAGCTAGAGATATCATATTGTGCTTTAATTTTAGACTGTGTAGGTTTGTAAAATGTTATTAAAAGGTACTTATTTTTTAAAACCTGGTATGAAATAACTCAAAAGTAAATTTTTTTGGTGTGCTCAATGGATTCAAGCCTTCAAAATTGACACTAAAATTTATAGCATGTTTAGTGCAAAACTACAATATTCATAATGTAAAAAAGGATATTTCAGTACCCACACACGATAATGAAATAGAAAAGGACTGCGTTATGAGCGGGACTAAAAAGAACGAGAATGTAAAAGATGAGGTAGAGGACTGTGGTTGCTACGCCGAGTCACGTACTATAAGGACATGTCCTCGTGTATACAACGTGACGCATCCTCTGGTAAATTATATCAACCGCGTTCTGTATAAAGAAATTATATTATACATGCTTGCTTCAGACTATATAATATGAGTGTGCATTCGCTAGAACTTACGATTAATGAAATAACACTGTTATTTTTCAAACAAACGTTCACATAATCTGTCTTGTACTTTGATAGCTTAAGGATTACATTGATTACTTAATTATTAAGTCATTTCAATTTTATTTGCATGCTTAGACGATTTTAAATTACTTGAAATTTATTTGCATGTTTATTGCTGTATGGACTAAGTAATTAACTTATTATCTATTTGATATTATTTAGATCAAGTGAGACATGTGGGAAGTTGACCTATGTAGGCCTTAGTCATACTATGCTGTATGACAGTCTCTAAAATACTTTTGATTTAACCATACTGACAAATAGATAAATGTGGTTTCTAAATTATGTAATTGGTTTAAGGTGTTTTACGTGTGTGCTGTATAACAGTTTCTAAAAGACTTTAAATTTAACCACACTCACAAATAAAATAGATGAAGTTTCTAAATTCTATAATTAGTTTTTGAGTGTTTTACGCGTGTGCTTTATTACAGTTTCTAAAAGAATTTTAATTTTACCATATTCACAAATTAAATAGATGTGGTTTCTAAATTCTTTAACTGGTTTCTGAGTGTTTTACGAAACAGAGCTTGGCTGAAGCTGTATTGGCTGCAGCACTAATGGGCCTGCTTGACCAGGGAAGGACCTATCTTTCACAGAATATCAGCATAATGCTGCTATTTCATTTGTGTTTCGCACTTTGAATGTAGAGAACCGTAGACGCTTTTCACTGTTAGCGAGGCATTGCATCTTAGTTCTCAAGTGTGACAACGCATTTGTAGTTTATAAACTATGCTACGTAGGACACAGCATCTGCAGCGACATCAGGTGGACTGTGCTCTTGTTTGTCACAGTTACATCTATAAAAAAATGTCTGCAGACATTATGATAAACTGAAAAATCTAAAATCTTATGCAGAGTTTTGGTAGGTTACATTGTCTGTTTTTGAACTCTCTTTTCAATAAACTATTGCAACCCCATTAATCTGTGCATTTTCTTGTTTTATAAAAAAAAACTACAATTAAAATGAATGTTCGCAAAGTTTCAAATAGAATGCCAAATGTTTTAGTTAAGTATACTTACGTCATTCACAGTTATGCTCAAAGACGTTTAATATGATGAACTTACTCAAATTGAAGTTGTTTAGTTTTAGTTTCGAAATCTCTTAAATACGACTAGAACAACCTTTTTGGTTTCAGCGCTATTACGAATTCACTCCAGAAGAAATAAAGGCTTTAGAGGAATGCGACAAGGAAAGTTTTTACCAACGTTGCTTACCTTTTAGTACATTGTTTGCCACCATGACCTATGCAGCTATTCGAACTGGTGAGATTTTTTTTTATTATAATTTGTGAAAATTCATGGAAGTAAGAATGTTATAAGCTCTTCTACTATATCAAATTTGTCTATAGTTATTTTATTTAAGTTCTTTTAAAACTATTCTTACTTCTATGAATATTTTCTAGGCTTCCTGAGCAGAAGTCCCCACTTCGGTTCGGTGCCAAAGGTAATGTTAGCAATTTTGTTCGGCCATGTGTGTGGTCGACTTTCGTACATGAAGAACTGTGACGCCAAGCTACGCCGTTTGCCTCCGGGGAGCCATCTCGGTGATGTTATGCGAGATTATCATTCACAAAACTCATGTCCGGTTCAGAAAAAACTCTGAAGTATCTACAAATTGCATTCTAAACGCTTCCCGTATGAGAGTGGTACTTACTATCTGAAATTATATATTACATTGTTGTCAATTATTAGAATATCGCATTAAGTGTATTCAGATTGCATCTTATGATGATTCATTAGGTAATGTGCCATGATTTCTGGAATTTCAAAAGCCCATTAATATATTTTAATCTGTATATATATTTTGATAAATATATATTTGATATTTGTAACCGTTAAACAAATATATTAACAATTAAAAAGTTTTATTAATCGTCAATGTATGTTTTATTAATAGATACTCTATAAAAAAGGAAAATACAGATATTTCGTTGCTGTAAAAATTTATAGTAATAAAAAATAATGAAATAGCTTAGCTAAAATAATTTTATCTATATGACTACAATACAGTTATATCATTTGACAAACTCGAGTTTTTTTTTATAAAATAATAACGTATTAATTTATTATCCAAAACCTTGCTTTCAATTTAATTTTCAAACTACAAACAAACTAAACTATAATATAACACCTTTTAATTTGTTCTCTATTTCATCACAGATTTAGCATGACATTATGCCATAACAAATTTAGTTTACAATTTGTTAAGGAAAACTCTGCATAGTAATTATATAATTTGAATTAATTTTTCGTATCCTACTTTAAGTTCGTTTAATTAAAAGTATAATAAAGATTCAGTTTTTCAATGCCCAGCACTTGCTGAACTTGTTGAACTTTTAACTCGTAACTCCGACCATAGCTGGCCGCGGAATAATGATAGAAGGGATGTATGATGTATGTATTTTCATACTACTGTAGGTATTAAATGTGAACTCACAATTACTATTACTACTAGTAGTAGTTTTTCAATCCTAACACGTCATTCGCTTACAATTAATTGCTCAACATATAATTTAATCCGGTAGATAATTTTAACTACGTAGCAAATTGAACTTCTTCTGACAAAGCAATGGAAATCTGCTCAAACCATAATTACTGTTTTATGATTAGTCTGTGATTAAAATAGTTTCGCAATAAAAATATTGTATTTATTTATTTATAACAGGAAACTATCAGCTATTATAATTAACACTATATACGTAAGTCACAAGGTAAGCCTATTAAAAGTCTTCACAAATGGATAATCGGTTAGATAAATACAAACAATATAATATATATATATATATATATATATATATATACGAGGGCTGCACTAAAAGTATCGAGAATGGAATATTTCCACTGTTCCTGTCATATAATTTTTTTTTTAATAGAAAATTCTTTGGTTTGAAAATCGAATACCATTTATTTATTTAAAAAAAGATTCTCGGTCTTGTCACAAGGTTTTGTCAAACTTGTTTAGTCGTTGAGAAAATGGAATTGACTCGAGAAAATTCAAGAGTGATGGTTTATTATGACTTTCGAAGTGGTTTAACACAAAAACAGTGTGTTGACCGGATGATTTCTGCATTTGGTGATGAAGCCCCATCCAAAACCACAATTTATCGCTGGTTTGCTGAATTTCAACGTGGACATGTCAAGCTCAGTGATGATCACCGTCAAGGTCGTCCAAAAACTGCAGTCACCCAAGAAAACGTTGATGCTGTGCGGAAGCTGATTGAGGAAGATCGTCATGTGACGTCGCGAAAATCAGGCAACTTTAGACATTGGCATGAGTCAAATACAAATAATCTTGCATGAACAATTAGGTGTAAAAAAGTTATTTTCCCGATGGATACCGCATTCGCTCTGTGAAGAGCAAAAAGCGGCTCGCGTTACTTGGTGCATCAGAACTCTCGAAAAATTCCACGCAGGATCCTTAAATGCTGTATACAACATCGTATCAGGTGACGAATCCTGGATATACGCGTACGAACCCGAAACAAAAAACTAGCCACGAGTTTGGGTGTTCGAAAATGAGTTAAAGCCAATAAAAACTGTTCGTTCACGGAGTGTTGCAAAAAAAATGATGGCCACGTTTGTCTCCAAAACCGGCCATGTTACGACTATTCCTCTTGAGGGACAAAGAACGGTTAATGCAGAATGATATGCTAGCATTTGTTTGCCACAGGTTGTTTCTGAACTGCGTAAAGAGAACTGCAACCGCCACATCATCCTCTATCACGACAATGCCAGTTCTCACACCGCACACAGAACAAAAGAGTTTTTAGAGCAAGAAAACATAGAATTATTAGACCATCCGAAGTACAGCCCCGACCTAAGCCCTAATGATTTCTATACTTTCCCTAAAATAAAGAATAAATTGCGCGGACAGAGATTTTCATCACCTGAAGAAGCTGTGGACACCTACAAAACGGCCATTTTGGAGACCCCAACTTCCGAATGGAATGGTTGCTTCAATGATTGGTTCCATCGTATGGAAAAATGTGTCAAATTTCGCGGAGAATACTTCGAAAATCAATAAATACATTTTTAAATAGTAATGTTGTGGCACTTCCTTGATTCTCGAAATTTTCAGTGCCGCCCTCGTATATATATATATATATATATATATATATATATATATAAGTTGCACGTTGATGTTCATTACATTAATTTAAGAACTCTAATTTTTATTGTTACTGAAAGAAGATGTTACTAATTTTCAA